GGCTTTCTCTGCCTGCAAATACCTGACGGGTGTCACCGTCCCTCCCGCAGCTGCAACGAGTCCTGCCAGCTGAAATTCAGGGACATCGACGTGGAGCTGGACTGCGGCATGTGCATCCGCAAAGGCAACAAGAGCTCCAGCGGCGCCCTGCTGCCGGAGAGCACCACGGACGACAAATGAGGCTGTGGCGGGCCCGGAAGCTTCTTCCCCGCTGTGGCTTAGAGCTCTTGAGATGAGGTTTTTAATTAGTCTTGATAAACTACACTGGAGCTTGATGGCAGAGCATCAGAATTGGGAGGCAGAGCCCCAAAGGCTGAGCATGGCAGGAGATGCGAAGCCTTTCCCGCGCATCCCTTCGGCGGCAGCAAGAGCGAACCAGGCTCGTCCGGGAGGGAGGTTTTAATTTTCTGTGCTGCAGCTTGAGCTGTGAACTGCAGAACTGGCTTGCTGGTGGAGTCCAACTGGTGTGGCTGATTTGGCTATTTATTTTTTTTAAACATTATTTTTGCTTCTGCAGAGCCAAACCAGCATTCAAAGCTCCCGGTGGCTGTCGCTCACTCTGGTGTTAATGGAGGGGGGTTTTGTACAAAACTTAACGTGCACAGAGCCTAGGTGATCACCAATAAAGTACGTTAATGAACCACCTCGATGGATCTCTTCAATACGATGCCTTGAGATTGAAGGCGTGGTTAAGGGGATGTCTGGCTTCAAAACGTTTTGCGGGGTAGATACAACATCGGAGGGATGGGGTTGCATGTGGTTGAACACGGCCAAATCTGCCAGGAGAAAGGGGCAGAGGGGAAGGGTGGAGGTTTCCCTGTTAGCACCGTCGCATAGCCGCTCTCTTGCCTGTATGTAATCGGAAGGCCCCTCTGCTCTGCTCTGGGGAGACCTCCCCTGGAGCCCTGCATCCAGCTCTGGAGCCCTCAGCACAAGGAGGACATGGACCTGTTGGAGCGGGGCCAGAGGAGGGCTACTAAAATGATGCTACGGCTGGAGCCTCTCAGCTATGAGGCCAGGCTGGGAGAGTTGGGGGTGTTCAGCCTGGAGAAGAGAAGGCTGCGGGCAGAGCTGAGTGCGGCCGGTCAGGGCTTCAAGGGGGCCCAGAGGAAAGGGGGGGACAAGCTTTTTAGTAGGGCCAGCTGTGACAGGACAAGGGGGGATGGCTTTAAACTGAAGCAGGGTAGGTTTAGACTGGATCTAAGGCAGAAATTCTTTCCAGTGAGGGTGGTGAAAGCCTGGCAGGGGTTGCCCAGAGAGGGGGTGGAGGCCCCATCCCTGGGACCATTCCAGGCCAGGTTGGCCGGGGCTGTGAGCAACCTGATGTGGTTCAAGGTGTCCCTGCTCCTGCAGGGGGGTTGGGCGGGGTGACCTCTAGGGGTCCCTTCCCACCCAAAACATTCGATGATTCTAGGATGAATTAGATGGGTGAGGCAGCCTGGTTGCAATGGATTTTGGCGTGCCTGGGTGTTGCCGGGCAGGGTCCAGCTTGCAGAGAGACGCTTGAAGATGATGATGGCTCCAGCAGCAGGGCTGGGCATATGGATACTCCCGGTGAGTCTCTGAGAGCCAGGCTGTGCAGCAATCTCAGCTTGGGGATGGCTTTTCTTCTCAACCAACACCTCCATTCCCTCCCTGGAGGTGGTTGCTTCCAAACAGAACCTTTCGTTTCTTGGTGTCTGCGTTGCGCTTGGTGTCCCAGGGGGATGTGGGTGTTTTCCCTCTGGTCCTTCATTTGATTTGCAGCAGAATAGGACAGGGAGATTGAATCAAAACTGAATTTAAAAGACGTCATTAAGCAGGATTAGTGACAGAACAGCACGTTCATTGTCAACATTTCAAATGCTTGTGCCATGTCCTTTGCTAAGGGCTGGGCTGGGTGAACAGGGGAGCACAAAGAGTGTTGTCATTAGCTTTTAATACCTTTGCTGTGCTCCTCCGCAAAGATGTGCAGAAGACAGCTTAGGCTAAATGGAGTTGTGCAGGCCAGCAGCAAAAACCCAAGCAAGCATCGGGAGGAAAGAAAACGCCTCCATGTCTCAAAGCGGTTGCAATTTCCAGCCCCACGGGAGGTCACTGGGAGAGCAATCACTTTATATTTTATTTTATTTATTTTCTCCTTTTGGAAGCTGGAAGGAGACTGATGCTTCGTGCTGCTGGCAGCTGTCAAGAAAAGGACCTTGAGGGGCGAAGGGACCGAGGTGAGAGCAGCATTTTGGGCTCCCGCGTTCGGCACCCACCTGTTGAGACTGTTATTGGGGGTTGTAAAGCAGGCTGGCGTTTGGGAGCGATAGTTTCTCCAGAGTTGCCTTTAACTAGGGCTGATGTGGATCTCCCGTGCTGGAGTGAGAGCTTCAAATGTGCTCCGTGGAGGTGATGCGCTCTGGTTATTAATAATTCTCATGGGATTAGAAGCAGGGGCGTTTGGTCAACTTGGTATAGACCAGCAGCAGTTAACGGGAAGCTTAGTGCATGGGTTATAACCTGATGTGCTGCACTTTGACTGAAAAGAAAGGGGGAGAAAAAAAAATCTCTTTTCCCTTTGATCAACTAAGGCTACTTTTTTTTTTTCTCCCTATCCTGTTTTTTCTTGCCCTGGTGTTATCTAGGTAATGCTGAATCCCTCTCTTACTGAGGTTTTTCTTGCTTAAAATGTAGGTCTTTCGTGGGGATGCTGCTTCTTTCCTTGAATAGATGCAAATAAGAGCAAATACTTACCCATCATCTAGCTGTGTGTTTTAACAAGCTTAGCGGGATCACACTCCGAGCCTAAAGCTAACGCATGAGGGTTTCTTTGAACAGGGTGCGCAAAATTACCCATCGTCTCGTTGGGTGGGAGAGGGGCCCCATGTTTGAGATCTGACTAACGTTCATTGGGTCAACAGGGTAGAAAGAAGAAGTGAGGTGGTTGTGGCTGTAATTGCACTTGTAGAGCAGTTCCTAAGCCAGCCTGGGTGTGGAATTGATACCCTCCATAACAAGCCTTCAACCCACAGCGCTCTTTCCCATGCAACTCATGGGCTGGACGATGTGTTATTGCCCAGGAAAGCCCACCCAAAATCATGGCTGCCCATGCTGGCGGCGTGCTACGGACAGACACGGGTGACGCTGAAAGGGGATGGGAGCGCAGAGCTGGGACATCGCAATCCATTGCAATCCCTGCCTCCCCAAGGTGGGTTACGACATGTGCCTGGGGGGGGGGTTAATGACCCGGGGACCTCGTTATTATACACAGACCCAACCGATGCCGTTCCCCTGCTGATGTAGTGTTATTTTGTGAAAGAAGGTTTGATTCCTTGCCAAGCTCCTATGGTCTGTCTGGGCTGCAGCCATGCGGGTGAGCCACTCCAGCGCGCATTTCCTTTGCCGTGGTTTCTGGATGGCTGGTGGGCTGTGATCTACTCCTGGAAGTACCTTGGCCAGAAAGCCATGCCACGTGTCTCGTGGCACATTGGCACATTGTTAATGTTTAACAACTGGTACCGCACGAGCCAGGAGCTAAGCTAATACCTGCGCTTTATCTTTGGGTCCTATTGGCATACAGAAACACTCAGGCCAACTGGTGTTTTTAATGGCAAATGTTCTCCGCTGCGTGGTTAGCCGAGGGAATTGATGGAGCTACTCTGGGTGCACACACGGGGAAGTGTTTGGAAGGAATAAAGGCCCTCATGCTCCCAGATTTAAGTCAGTAAGTGGTTAAGGGTTGCGAGAAGAGCACTGAAAGGGGGAGATGGAAGTTTTCCCCTTTCCACAAACTCTCTGCTGCTGGCAAATGCCAGGGACAGGGTTTTAGCCTGGAGGAATTGACCGAAAATTGAAAATGAAAGCCTTTGGTAGGTGGCTGCTGATGCAAGGTGTGATTTAGGGTAGCCTCTTGCTGCAGCTGGTGGGAGGAGAAGCTTCTTGAGACCGTATGGAAGGGTGCTGCTGGAAGGGCTGGCGTGCTCTGCAGAGCCTCAGCGTCCAGCATCTCTGTGCAAAGTTTGCATCGTTATGACCGAGACTGGCTGGAGATCCACGGTTTAAGGAGGAATTGAAATTAGGACTTCAAGCACCACTACAATCTACTGTTTCAGTTTAATTAGTGAACTTAGTTTCCAGACTTAGTGCAATTGCTGTTCAGAGGACACTTGGATTTTCTAGGTCACTTTTCTTTTCCAAAACTTACTATTTTATTTGTTATTTTATTTGTTATTTTATTTGTTATTTTATTTGTTATTTTATTTGTTATTTTATTTGTTATTTTATTTTTTTAATTTTAATCTTAATACTTCTCTTGCCTATTAACTCAAGTGATTTCAGTAACAAACCCCTGCCAAAGGGATATTGGTGCCCAGTGAGCTCTGCCTCGCAGTACTGTCTGAAACAGCACCCACATGTAGCTTTTCATTGCAGCTGCCCAAAGAGAAGGAAGAGGATCCCAAAAGGGACAGGTCAAGATTGAAAGAAGAAGAAGATTGAAAACCTGAAGCTGGATGTGTGCGTCTACCCTACCCTCCCTGCTGGCTCCCCTGAGCAATGTGCACGAGGCGTCTCTCCTGCGAAGCAAGAGGTATTTTTAAAAGATGCAATTTGGGGTTGATGCCTCTGGGGGGGAAGCCTGGTATTTGTCCTAGGCTAAGCAGAGGGTCAAGAGGCGGGATGCCTGCTGTATTAATTGTATTGGAGCCCTTCAGATCAAGTGTCAATCCTTCTCTCTGTTAATTTACAAACTATTTGGCTGCAAAAAGGAGAGGGACCAAGTGTTCATGGGAAATCAAAGCACACAGATTTGGTGCTGCCAAGGAGGGGAAGGTTTCTGGGCTTTGCCTGGGGCAGGTTTTTTCTGCTGAAGCGTTCACCTGCCGGTGTTGTATTTGCTACCAGACGGTGCAGGTGCCGGTGCAACTTGGGGAAAGGTTCCTGTACCAGTTTGAGGGCTGGGTGCCTGATGAGTTCAGCCGTTGAAGGTTTATTCCTTCTCTGGAGACATTCAACCCCCGCCTGGACGCTGTCCTGTGCCCCCTGCTCTGGGTGAGCCTGCTTGAGCAGGGGAGTGGGACTGGGTGAGCTCCCAAGGGCCCTGCCAACCCCTGCCATGCTGGGATTCTGGGATTCCTGAGCACTTGATTGCAGAGGTATTGGCCTATAGAATTATAGAATCATTTAGGTTGGAAAAGCCCCTTAAGGTCACCCAGCCC